CATCGAGTCGCACAAGCTCCACTCCCAGTCAAGACTTCGAGTGTCTGGAGCCAGCTGTAAACCACTTTGTGCTCCTCGGGTTCCCAGAGCTCTAGTGCCAGTCCTGATTTGCATGTTTGGAGCCAACTGTAAGCCACCTCGGGCACTTCGTGTTTCCAGCTGTCAATTTCTGGGTCTAATTTTGCATGTCTGGAGCCAGCTGTAAACCACTTCGGGCTCCCAGAACTCCACTCCTGGGTCTGACTTTGATTTTTGGCGCAGGCTGTGAGCCACTTCGGGCTCTTCGTGCTCCCAGAACTTCACTCCTGATGTTGATTTAGCGCTCGCACCCTAGCATCTTGGCATCCTGGCATCTCTGGTATGCCTGGCACAAACCTCGCAGGTCTGACAGAGTCTCACAAGTCGCACAGGCTTCACATGCCCCAAAGGTCCCACAGGTCCCACACGTCGTATCCACAAACCCAAGAGTCCCACAGGCCGCACAAGTTGCGCAAGCATCCGGCTTCCTGGCGTCCTGGCACCCTTGCATCCTAGCATCCTCACCATCGCTAGTTGTGCTAGTCGTCAATGGTTAAAAACATGTGCACCACTGAGATTATCATGTGGGGTTCTACTGTCGACGTGTGTGGGATTGTTGGTGAAAGGCTTTTGTGTGTTGCCCTCATTCATTTTTTCGGAAGTAGACACGAGTTTCTGGGTTTGGGTGATTGTGGGTGGCTCTTGGGAAAAGAAGGTCGGTGCTAGAAGGGTTTTGGGTAGTTCTATGTGGCGCTAAGGAGGTTGTAGACGAATGAGACAGAAAGGGGGGCGAAGACAAGAAGGATGGATGAACCTGTAAGAAGATGACAGTGGTGATGCTGACGAGCAAGAGGGATACATAGAGAGAGAGAGAGAGAGAGAGAGAGCGAGAGAGACACATATTAAGAAAGAGCGATACACACCAGGAAGAGAGAGAGAGAGAGAGAGAGAGAGAGAAAGAGAGAGAGAGAGAGAGAGCGAGAGAGAGAGGGAGAGAGCGAGCGAGAGAGGCATAAACATACGTATATGGAGAGAGCGAGGGAACGAGAAAGAGAAAGAGGGACATAAACAGAGCGAGAGAGGAGAGAACGAACGAGACAGAGAGAAACACATAGAGAGAGAGAGAGAGAGAGACAACGGGAGAGAGAGGTTTATATAGAGAGGGATCGATCGAGGGACATATATACAAGTGGCACGTGCGTGCCCAAGGTCTGACACAACAAACATCAATTGAGGGTCGCTAGTTGGGTTACCAAAATTTCCAATTCGACGAAATGTGGAGACGCAACCCTGTGCGCATGAGCAAACAACATAAGAACAACACTGGATAACCACGCGAACATGTACATAAACACATGCCTTTCTTATAGTCAAGTGGAACACCACAGAATTCTGTGTTTCTGGTGCTGATTTCTTAATACGGGGGGGGGCAGAAAGAGTACACTGGACAACCGTGATCAACCAATGGTGTTCGAAAAATTAAGTGCAACACCATTGCAACCCATTGAATGTTTGAAAATTTGGTGTTCACATTCTCTTGTATGTTTGGACCCTGTCGTCACGACATGCATGACTGGTGCGTTCCTTGGTCAGAATTTGGAAAGTGCCAAGAACGACACGTCCACTGATATCGCGAAGGTCCCGCTACTCGCCTCTGAACTCTGCACACTCGGGGAGGTGCGTATAACTGTATATGTAAGCGTATGCGCATGTTTTCTTTTTTTCCGTGTACTCTACGTATATATGGATCCATTTATATGCAGAGGGAACGAGAGATAACGTTATTACGATATATATATATATATTTATATATATATATATATATATTGAGGGGAACCTATGCAACTGTGTGTAATCATGTAGCGGCTTATATGTACGAACGCACGTAAACACACGTATGTAAACAGGGGGGTAGCGAGAGAGAGAGAGAGAGATAGAGAACGAGACAGAGAGAGAGAGAGAGAGAGATAACGAGAGAGAGAGAGAGAGCGCGATACATACATACATACATATATACACATATATATACACGTTTATATGCCGCTGCATTTTAATATGCGCATATATGTACAGGGCTTATACAACAATGGCGACACCTAACTATAGAGTAGTCTAACGATATACTTCTCTATATGTGTACACATATATACATTTATGGTTGTGCGTGTGTGTGTATACATATGCTTACGCATTCAGAAACATCATAACTTATATGTGTGCGCACCTGCGAGTACACGTGTGTGTATACACTGTTATATTGGGGAGTAGAGGATTGTTATTATCATCATTATTATTATTAATATTAGTATTATTATTAATATATATATATATATATATATATATATATATATATATATAAAGAAAACAAGACATATAGAGAAATAGAGAGAGAGAGAGAGAGAGAGAGAGAGAGCGAGAAAGAGGGAGAGAGAGAGAGAGAGATAAACACAGGAGAGAGAGGAGAGAGAGAGAGAGAGCGAGAGTGAGAGAGAAGCAACGAGAGCTAGAGGGAGAGAGAGTGAAACCCATGGAAATAAGTATCCATACATATACATTTACATATGTATGTGTATATGTATATATATATATCGATATATATATAGAGAAACACAAAACACATAATAATAATAGAGATAACCAACATGAGAGAGAGAGAGAGAGAGAGAGAGAGAGAGAGAGATGGACAAAAAGAGGAGGGGGGTCAGGCGAAGGAGGAGGAGGAGGAGAAGCAGCAACATGAGTTTTTGTCGTGCGCTCTGATGTGGCTGCTCCGCAGCCGCCTCGTTAGCCGAGGGCCGACGTGCCCCGCTGCGTGTCCAGGGGGCGGGCGGGTTGGCAGGGGGGGGGAGGATTGAAGGGGGGGGGGGGGGGGCGGCAGGATGGCAGGACGGCAGGGTGGGGGGGAGGGGCAGGATGGCAGGATGGCAGGGAGGGGGGGGGGGCAGCATGGCAGCGGGGGGCAGGATGGCAGGGGGGGGGGGGTGCAGGGTGGCATGGGAGAGGAAGGATGGTAGTTCGAAGATTTAGTAGAATGGCGCAGCCACAAGCTTTCGGAGCTCCGCGCGGAAGTTCTTGGATCGGCGCTGGGCCCCCGCGCGTCAGGGAGGAAGGTCCAGCGCCGATCCAAGAACTCCGCGCGGACCTCCGAACCTCCTTTATGCATCACGGCTTCCATGTGGCGGATTCCGGACACCCTGAACGCAACAAGGTTATCACCTCTTGGGAGGTCGACTTTTGCTTCCTTTTTTTGAACGCTACTCCCATTCCCACGGAAGTGTTGCGGGAGCAACTGAAAACAACCGCCGAACATCGCGGCGCAACCGAAAACGGACGGTGCCCTAAGGGAGGGAAGGCGCGAGGCGGGGAGGCGGCTGTGCCTCCGCCCCGCTCCCGCGCGCCCCAGCCTTTGCTTCCGCTGGCCTTCCGCTGGCTTCCGCTGTCGGAGGCGGCCTCGCTCTCCTTCCGCCACCGCCCGCCGGCCTTCCGCCGAGGAAGCGGCGGCAAGGCCTGCGGTCCTCGGGGGCAGCGGCCTCCTTGGAGCGCCCCCCCTGCGTTCGGAGGACTGGTCTCTCTGCTCCGGAGTGTCCAGGATGCGCTGCCCGCGCGCCGTGCCGTGCCCGCGAGCGGTGCCGTTCCCGCAGTCCAGGAGGCGAAGCGGGTGCCGCGCACGCGTCGTGCGCGTGCCCGCGCTCGGGAGTGCGAGAAATGAGCCGGTCTCGTGCCGTGCGTGCCATGCCCGCGTTCTAGGCAAGCGAGGGCTGGGCCGCCCACGAGCCGTGCCGTGCTCGTGGCGTGCGCGTGTCCACGCGCCTTGCCCGAGCCCGTGCCGTGCATAGTTTTCAGGAGGCAGAGCGGGTGTCGCCCGCGTGCCGCGGCGTGGCGTGCCCGTCTCGTGCGCGTGCCCGCGTGCCGTGCCTTGCGCGCGGATGTCGAGGTTGACTCACCAGGTGTCTTTTCATGCAGCGTTGCTGTTGCGGGTCTCTGTGTGCTGGTGGATCTTTTGTTCACTCAGTCATCTTCGAGGAGAGGAGGAGGGGGGGAGTGTTTACTGTCCTTAGGGCGTTATGCTTTCTGTTTGGGTCCTGAGGGTATTCTGAGGGGGTCCCAAGGGGAGAAAGGCGAGGCGGAGAGAGGAGGGGGGAAGAGGAGCGAGGAGGCAACCGAAATCCACCATGGCCACGCAATGACCCGACCACGTCACTCACGCAGAGGCTGTGCCAAGAAAAAACGCTCTCGCTGGAGCTCATCGGCGGGCACGGCGTCTGCACATGCCTCCCGCACTGGTGAGTATCGCTCTTATGCGCCAGCCCTGGCAGAGCCCAGATCAGGGCTCCGCCGGAAGTGGCCGCGCGCCACGGACTCGAGGCCGGCCGGGCGTGGGACCCGGTGCGGGAGGCGAGGTGGCAGAGCGAAGGCCGAAGGAAGAGAGCGGCGAAGGGGGAAGAGGCGCACAGTGAGTGGCTCGCAGGACGTCGGGCCCCACCGCCCGAGCTCTGCCCAGGGGTGCCCCATGTTGGCGGCGCGCAGAAGGGGGTGGAGGGAGGGGGGGAGGCTTCTTAGAAGGAGGCTGCTTCTTAGAAGGCGGCGGTCTTACATCTATACATAAGGACCGCCCCTTCGAAGAAGCAAGGGTGCTTCTAAGAAGCCTTCCCCCCTCCCCCTATCCCCCTCTGCGCGTGGCCGACCCTGTCCCAGAGTTCCCGGGCGTGTGCCGCCGCGGCGACGAGGAGCCTCTTCGGGGCGGGCCCAGCGCCGTGGCGGCGAGGGGGCCGCCCCGAGACAGAGAGACACAAGCACAGAGAAAGACAACACGCACACTTTTTTCCTGTCGGCGGCGAGGCAGAGGCAATTCGCCCCAGCGAATGGCTATTCGGGGCAACTGAGCGGCGAATTGTCCAGCGTGCAAGAAGGAGGGAACAAGACGAGGGCGGCCGCGCGGGGGGAGGAGGAGGGCAACATACAAACATAAACACACGAAAAACCGATCCTGTTCATTCGCCTCCTGCTCCTGCTCCTCCACATCCACCGCCGCTCCACAGGCCACCGCCGGGCCCCACCGGTCGCCGACGCGTGACCACTGCTCCAGGCTCAGCGCTACGATCCTGTCTGTGATCTCTCTCATGGTCGGGCGCTCGAACAGCAGCGATGATGGCACCTTCAGCCCCAGGGCAGCCTGGATGCTGTGCCCCGAAGGAGACTGATGTCGGGCTGTCCATGCCGCCGTCCATCAGCGGGCTGTCTGCCCCCAGCCTCTGTTTGTCCAACTGGACGCCAACCTGTTCACGTCCTTCCGCACGCAGCACTTGAGGATGGTGATTTTGATGCGCCGTCGACGGCAACACCACACCGCTCACCCTCCGGGACTTCGCCTCCGGCTCCTGTCCAAGGTGTACCTTTTCCTGTGCAAGCTCTTCAGCACCGCCTGCACCCCGCGCCCTCCGGCCGCCTGAGGCCCCGCCCGCCCGCGCCCTGTCTCCCCAATTAGTGATTTGCGCGGCCCGCCTAGCTCTTAACCGGAAGAGGCTCGTTCTCGACCCGCAGACCAAAAAACGTTTGTCCAACTGGATATTGCCTGCCAGTCCGTGTCCCTGACCGTCTGCATCACCACACTGGCGTCCAGGCCCTTCCGCTTTGCCTTCTCCCGCGCGGGCGCGGGGGCGCCAGGCGCCGGGGCGGCAGGCAAGGCGCCCTGCTGGGCCACAAGCCACTCGGGCGGGGGGCATCGTACCCATACCGTCCAGACCGTCATCGACCTCCATGTCTATCTCCTCGTGCTCATTTTCGCCACCGTCGTCCCCGCCGATCTCCACGATGTGGCTCGTGATCTCCTGGATCGTGGGGTAGTCGAGCATCAGCGACGCTGGCATCTTGAGGTTCAGGGCCGACTGGACGCTGTTCCTGAACGAAACGGCCGTCAGGCTGTCCGTGCCGCTGTCCATCAGCGCGCTGTCGTCGAAGAGCTCCAGGCTATCGAGGCTGATTAGGAGCTTCTCCGCCTCGGCCTCGCCCTCCCTGTCCCGGCAGCGCCCGAAGATGTCCCGCGCCTCCGCGGCGGCAGCCTGGGCCGCCTCGCGGCCCTCCTCGAGCTCGTTGCGCGCCTGGGCCAGGATCCGGAGGGAGGAGGCTTCCCCGGGCCCTTCTCGACCAAGAGCCACGGGCCGCCTCGCCGAGGGGCTCGGCGCCCGCCCAGGTGCCGCCGACCGCTGCGGAGGTGTGCCCCTGGTGCGCCCTGCCGTGCAGCTCGGCAGCCGTGCGCACGTACAGGAGCGAGATGGACTGGAGGGCGCAGGGGCTCCGATCCCACGCGCTCTTGGGACTGCTCGGCTACACGTACGAATGACCTTTCGTTGGAGTGACCTGTGGTGCGGGCACATTGGGATCCTCAGATGGCTGAATGCGATGCGATAGCAGCGGCCTGCGCGCTGCAGTTCGGCCTTTCCGCGGCCCCCGAACCTCGCGCACCAAAGGTCACTCTTACCCAGGGTCACTCTTGGGTGTAGCCGAACTACGCGTGAGCTCGTGAGCCCTCCCTGGGCTGATCCCCAGACTCCCCGAACTGGCCGCGCGCCCTCTGCAAGGCCGCGGCGGCGCCGCCGCTGCCGCGCAGCGCCAGAGGCAGCGACGCCCTCGAGACACGACGCCAGGGCCCAGAGGCCCGAGCGGCCGACCCGTTGCGCGAGCGCTGCGGCGTCCGCGCCCTCGCTCAGCTCCTGCTCCTCCTCCTCCTCCCTCCTCCTCCTCCTCCTCCTCCTCCTCCGCGCCTTCGCGGCCAGGATGAACATGTACATCTGGCCCGTCCTGTGGCCGAACTTCTGCGCACCCCGCCCCGCTGCGTCCGCGGCCTTGGCGGCCAGCCAGGCCCCGCCCGCTGCCTCCACGACATTGTCGGGCGACAACCCCTTCCACGGCTAGCAATCTCTCGCGTTTGGCTTTGACGGCTGTTTCGGACGCCCGTCGATCCTGAAGGGGCGACGTGCGTCTCTGTGTAGTGCGACCAGAGAAGCCAGCCTCTCCTTGGCCAGCAGCCGCTCGTGCCTGGCTTTGAGGGGCTGCTTCAGAGACCTGTCGGATTCGCAGCGGCGAATAGCATCGAAGTGCATCGCCTCCAACGGGACGATCTCCACTGCATCTTTCCTAAGCTTACAGCGTACCCCCTCCACAGGATTGTACAACAAGTCGCGAGCCGGCGGCGGCTCGCTCGGCTCCGACACGCTGCAGATATGGGAGAAGAGCACTGCGCCACAAGTGCACCTCTAGCCAGATGCGGCACCCTCGTGGGATACCGTCTCATGGAACATCTGATTTTCGATCTACTTGATGAGAGGGGAGGCTGTCGACGTCGAGCTTGTCTTGTCCATGTCCGCCACGCGCGGCGTCGGCACAGCGTTGACAGCCTCGGCCTCCACGGCAGGTGCCTCGGCAACGCCCTGGAGCTGCGTCCCCAGCTCCGCCACGAACAGAACCCGCGCTCCGAGACGCGGCCCCGCCGCCACCTCGCGGTCCTGCCACGACTCGGGCGGGCCCCGCGGGCCCGCGAGAGCGCGGATAGCAGCCTCAGCAACGTCTTGGCGCCGCGCCCGGGCCGCGCGGCGAGCTGCCGAGGAGCCGCACTCGACCGCCTCGGCCCTGCGAAGCGTCGTGGGCCGCAGAACAGGCGGGCGGCCCCCCGCAGCCGTCCCAAGTGCTGGAGGAAGCAAAGAGCAGAGAAGCTCCCCCCAAAGCCAGCTTGAGCCAAAATGGCCACGGACTGCTCCCTCCTCCTCACACCATTCTGTTTCCTTACAAATACTCCAGACTTCGTAATAAAAGGGAGGGGGTCTGGACCCTCCAAGACACGCCATTTCAGACCTCCCCAGTGGGAGAACCCTCCAAAACATCGTCCCCAGACCCCCCCAGGCCCTCCAAGATAGCCTGGAAGAGACCCCCCCCGAAATGAGACCCCCCTCCATTTATTACGAAATCTGGAGTAACTCATCCATGTCGTGCCCCGAGGCAGGTCGGAAGGGCGGGCCAGGCGTGTCGCCTCAGACTTCTCTGGCAGTTCTGGCCCTGACGCTTCGGACCTGCCAGCAATTTCACCCATGGGGGGCGGGCCGCTTCCAAGATGCGGCTCTCGCCTTCGCGCCGCGCGATTTCGCTTCAAAGAGTTGCGAGCTGTTCGCGGATGGAGGACGGGCCGTTTTCAAAATGTGGATCCCGCCCTAGCGCTGCGCACGTTCCTTCAACGAACATGGCAAGGATGTCGCGGATTGAGGACAGGTCGCTTACAACATGTTGCTCTCGCCTCAGCGCCGCGCACATTCGTCTCAAAGAAATGTAAGAGTTTCACGGATGGAGGGCAGCTCCTCTTCAAACGGTGGCTCTCGCTTCAGCGCCGTGCATATTGGAGTTATACGTTTGCAGAAGTTTTGGCTAGCGTACAAGCAACGGTGTTTTAGAACGATGTAGGATTGTCAGGGCGCCACAGTTGCGTTGATCCGCGGTGTTGACGTCCCAGAAATGGTGTCTTGGTACGGTTCAGGATCGTCACGACGCAACAAGAAGGTTGACCCGTGGCGTTGGAATCCCAAGAATGGTGCTCTGGCGCGGTTCAGGACTTTCGACCTGTTGTCTCCAAACGGGGCACTTCCTCAGTGGACATGAACCTTTCCAGGTGTCTTTGAAGAGGGAGATAAGAGGGACGATTTGTTGCAACATCGTTAATCGGTCTGGGGTCTACACTGGTTCCTCCTCCTCCTCTTTTTCTTCCTCTTCCCCCTCCTCCTCTTCCTCCTCCCACTACTCCGCCTCCTCCTCCTCCTCCTCCTTTTCCTCCTCCTCCTCCTCCATTGGGGGGCAAAGGCCCCGCCCCGCCTTGAACATCAGATCCCGGGCGCCGCTGGACGCCTCGGCCGCCGAGAGGCCCACCTCCGCGGGGCGGCTCGCGGGAGCCGCGCGCGGGGGCAGCGAGGTGGGGTCAGCTCAGCTCAACCAGGAGAAGGAGGAGGAGGAGGAGGAGGAGGAGGAGGAGGAGGAGGAGGAGGAGGAGGAGGAGGAAGAAGAAAAGGAGGAGGAAGAGGAGGAGAAACGAGGGGGAGGAGGAGGAGGAGAAGGAGGAGGAGGGAGGAGGAAGAGGCGCAGGAGGAGAAGGTGGAGGATGATGAGGAGGATGAGGAGGAAGAGGAGGAGGAGGAGAGGAGGAGGAGAAGGAGGAGGAGGAGGAACAGGAGGAAGAGGAGGAGGAGCAGGATGAGGAGGACGAGGAGGAGACGGAGGAGGATGGGGAGGGAGATGGGGATGAGGATGAGGAAGGTGAGGATGAGGATGAGGATGGTGAGGATGAGGATGATGATGCTGCTGATGATTTTTCAACTCCCAGTGCAGCGAAACTGTCTGATTCTATGCAGCGAAGCTGTCTGATTAGGGCGAGCAGTAAAAGTGAACGATGCCAGGCCTGAGTGACGTTGACATCGTTTCAGCATTCGTACAAACGCAGAGGAAGCCATAACGATAACGCAACAATACATGCAAGAAGCGAATATACATGACCACAGCAATAACACAACCAGCACGTAGCCATATATTGATACACCGACTGAAAGAAATAATCAAGCACCCCCACCAAGATAAACATTATGAATCACATTCAACCTTCTACGTTGCCGACGTGATCCGTCCATGACTGCAACTGACGCGAAATATGCGCAACCAACGTTCAAATCCCAAACACTTGTATCGTGGATCCATCGTCCAATTGCAGAAACGAGAACAAGCCAAACCGTGAACAGGATTTTTCTGATGAGTATATGTATACACCATGAAAGTCTGCCCGTGACAAAGGCGCATCATGATGCCGCGAACCCTTTTGGCTGAACTCGTCCCCGAACAGATCCACAACAAGAGCGGTGGCTGAACGATGGGAGCCATTCTGCCCCAGGTACCTGCGCTGATCCATGGAACGCCACCTCGAATTCATGCAATGATATTCAGAATCAGCCTGAGAGTTACCAACGCGTCCTGCACGAGACAGCACAACAATTACGCACCTGGAAGCAATTTCTTCGTTTACGTATGGCACGACATCTTCTGAAATGCGATATTGTTTCACTTGATTCTTCAAAGCCAAATGCGACGCCTCAATACTGGAGGGCACCGGGAAAGTCGGAACGGATGGCAACGTGGATTTCGAGCGCGTCCGAGGAACACCGAGCCGCGACGCTTTCCGAGGCGGCGGAGTAGGTAAAGTGTGCTCGTCAGACTCGTCGTCACCCGAAGGTTCGCGTTTTCGGTGCCTGTCGCCATCTCCAGCTCTACGACCGTCAGTATAATCATCGTTACCCCCGTCATCTTCGTTGCCATCTACAGCGCTGCACAGTAAGTGCACAGAGAAATCTACCTAACATGAAACAACAGAGTGCCCTGCCGAATGTTTATGACCACGATCCATTACTTAGTACGTAAGTGCAATCAAGTTTCCGAAGCTGCGTGAGGTGCGGCCATAAGACCAACACTGCATGTCAAGTGGCACCTTCAACAAGATCATCAATACGATTTTGAATTTCATCCTCCGGGGCTCGAAAACAGAATTTAGGACAAGATGCATGCACAAACCATGTTCAAGTTGCCGAGGAATCCGATCAATACGTCCCACCTACAGCATGGAAAAGGGGCGAGACAACAACACTCAGGTGAAAGGAAGAAGCCGCTCCCTCAACAAATGCCTGACCCAACTGGCTATGATGATGATGAGGTTGCTGCTGCTGATGATGATGATGATGACGATCGAATTGAGGATGCTGGTGATGATGCTGATGCTGATGCTGATGATGTTGAGCATAATGGTGATGCTGGTGATGATGTTGATGATGCTGATGATGATGATGATTCTAATGATTAGGAGGAGGACGAGAAGGATGAGGAGGACGAGGAGAAGTGAGGAGGAGGTGCGCGACTCCAGAAGGAGGAGAAGAGGGAGGTCCACAACAACACAAATCACCGCTCCTCGTTGGGACGCGCGGCGGCGAGCTGGCTGGCCCGTTCTGCGGCTGGATGCTGCACCTTGCGG